TTTTTTTTTCGTCATCGAATTTTCTTTAATCAATCGTCTTGACGATTTTCCCGACGCCATTTTACGCGTCCGTTAAATGTTTTTTCTCTTTCTCTCTCAGTAAGTGTTAAAAACGTCGCGTCACGCATTATTCTATCATTAACAGACAAGACAATACGGAGGAAAAACGAGAAGTAAACGGGGGGTAAAATAAGAAGAATAATTATTTCATTTAATTTAATACGGGCGAAAAGTTTTATTTAAAAAAAAATTTGACGAATTGAAAAAATTATTTTAAAAAAAATTTTTCAACATATGTTTTATTAATTACCCTCGCGGTTTTTTTTTTTTTTTTTTTGGTAACATCGTCACGTGACTTTTTCGAACAGGAATTAACAATTGTTGCAATTTGATGACAGTTGATTTTTTTCTCCAAGCAAACGTTTTTTTTTTATTATCCAGTTTTGATATTTTGTAGGGTAAAATTTATTTCATAAAAATTTTAGTTTTTTTTTCGTTTGTTTGTTCCTGTTGTTGTCATCGTTTTTAAAACAACAAACACGCACGCACGCCCGTATGCACGCACGATGACGACGACGACGACTCGAATTCGAATTTTCAAGTCAACAAAATTTATTTACAATCGAATGACTTTGTTTTTTTTTTTTTTTTTGTTTGTACGAAAAATGAATAGTAAAATCATCAAAATCATGATTCGACCTGATTTAACAAAAAAAAAGGAAAAAAGGAAAAAATTATAAAATAATTACGGTAATTTTTTTTTTTTTTTATTTTTAAAATTATTACCACGTTTTACTGACGTCCTCCTTTTCTACTCGTAGCGAATAAATTTTTTTTCTTTTTTCACGTAAACTCATCACGACGTGATAAAATTATTAAAAAAAATAAAAAAAATTTTTTTTCTCTCTCTTATTAATACAAACGAGAAGAGAGAGAGAGAGAGAGAGAGACGTAAATTTTCCGATTGTTTGTCAGCCCGTTTGTTGTTTATATAAAAGATACGTAACGTGGATAGGAAACGAAAAATAATTAAAATTTTTTTATATATATCGTGTAAAAACACGTTTTTTTTTTTTTTTAAATTTATTTATTTATTGTTCAAAAGCAGACGATTTTGATTCCCCCCTCTCTCTCTCTCTCTTTTCTGTTTGTTTTTTTTATTTCCGTTTGTTATCCGTTTTTTTTAAAAATAAATTTGATTAAAAACCATGTAAAAGAAAAAAAATTAATTTGTTTATTATTTTTTTTAACGCCCTTTTTTAAAAATATTTTATTATTATTATTATTTTTCGTTTGTTTGTTTGTTTTACAAAATAACAAACAAACAAAACATCCTACAGGATTTCTCATATCATTATTGTTTTTTTTTCATTTTTAAACAGGTTAAAAAAAATTTTTTTACTTGACAATAAAAAAAAAAAAAAAAATTTGGGTCAAGAATTGTTTGTTCTCCCAACAAACGCAACTAATAACCTTTAAAATATAACAAACAGGTTAACAAACAACCGATAAATTCGAAAATGCAAAAAATTTATTTATTCAAACAAAAAAAAAGAAAAAGTCGTTCAAAAATTTTACATTTTTTTGTATAAAAAAAAAAAAATTATTTTTTGTCAAATTAACAAACGGAAATAATTCTTTT